CCTCCGCTAGTCTCCTGGCCTTTACAAAAATGACACAAATGCACACCTGTGTACTTACTGTACATGTATTTTATTTTGTCATGCCTAGTAAAGGGAATTGGAGTCATAAGGCCAAACCCCCAAATACAAGTAGTATACATGTATACATGTATGTGTCTGGTAACTCAATTAACCTGGAAAATCATGCAAAACCTAACCCCCCCCTTCTCTTTTTTTTAGTCAAACATTCAAAGGAAAAATAATAAAAGCTATTAGTGCCAACACTTGCATAAATGTATTTCCTGCATGCATCACACTTACATGTATGCATGTACGTTGTATGTACACATTTAAAAAAAAAAATTTCGAAGCTAATTTGAAAAAGGTTTTTTTTCTTGAGTAGTGTTTGAGCACACCACCATCTGTTTTTGCAATTGTGATCTGTACAAGAAGGAATCCACGAACCCAAAAGTTGCCGCCTCTTTTTCATGCGGTGTGCTCCAATTTATTTTTTCCTCTGCCGGTTGCTCAGGATTATTGCCAGTGTTGGTGAATGTTAGGCAATAATTGGCAACTGGTAACATTTACATTTATAGCATGCAGCTCTATGACCTTTATGGGTTTTGGAATCACGAAAATTGCAGGTGGAAAGAATAGCAAATGGTGGGAAAAATTGACCTGAATAGGAATGTCACAGTGGGAGTTGTGTAGCATTGATCACGTACCACATCTACATGTGCCTTGGTACCTGTACATTTCTCCGTGTAGCACAGGTCTGACGCAATAGTCTGGGTTCTCCATTATGGGTAACATGCACTCCTGTTAACAGAAAAGGGCCTGATAAAAATGCAGGCTGACATCAAAATGAAAATCAATGACAATTCAATAAAGGCTTTTTTTTTTCAACGCTCACCTTGTCAAGCAGGATTTCGCAACGGTTCGTTATGCAAGCACGCTGACGCTGCTGGTGGGCAGTATGAACGTTCATGTAGAGCATCTCAGTCATGATTTATTCCGTTATTGAGAGACACCAAACTGACATGGAATAAAATACTTACATGTAGTATGCTGACACGGTTCGTCTTGCTTGCATATGAAGTTATGCGTTAATAGCTAGCAAACCGTTGCCAGATCCCTTGCAGAAATTTGTAAAAGTTAGCAAATTGCATTGTCTGTGCAGTCCCAATGACCTCCCCTTTTCTCTTAATGCATAATCATGCATTCTGTTACTGCAGTTTTGTACCTGTGGTGGTGTACATGTACATGTACCAGTCAGCATTATCATACATGTCGCGGTAACGGCACGCCCAGCTGTAACTGCACAGGTTTTCTTGAGACACTGCATGCATTTTAGCATTGTTGTGCTCTTACATGTAGGTTTGTTTAAGGTTTCATGTTATTGAATATTTGAATATTTCACTTTCAAAATCAGATGCTTTGAGGTGACAATCACGGTGTTATGAGCAAACTTAAAGGCAAACACACCCATCAAGAAGGGCAAACATTACCTTTCCTTCAGTGTTTACTTTTTACTTTTCGCAACACAAATGTTTATGTTGTTTCCACTTCTGTTTGGAATTGGTACAACTGAGTATTCAATTAAATGGAAAGTTGAGTATTTAAGTTGCCGGTTATTTGAAGTGGGTCAGCTCAGCCTTAAGTTTGCACTCAGTGGTTATATAACGAGAAGGAAGAAATGGTACCATTTTAGCATATTTAAAACATGAATGCTGTAGAAACGTGCACAAAAAACATGTTCATGTAAGATGGACAAATTTCAGAATCACGACAAACAACAAATACGAACCGTGTGCGCAGTGACGTGTACACTATATGATGCCCAGTGCAAAAACGAGGCTGTTCTACATGTACATGTATGTCTGACATACAGTAATCAATTAATGCATAGAAAAGTGATAAATTCTGATTTTAATCGCCAAAAAGCATATGGGCTTTATATTGGACTGTGGATTGAAAGTGCTTGTTCTCCCTTGTTCACATTTTGGGGAGGACGTCATCGGTGTCATCATGGGAAGGTTACTATTACTTCTCAACCTTGTCCCCACTGAGGTACATGTACAGTCTTTCCCTGGGTAGCATTCTGCCAGATTACACATATAATCTGTTACTCTATAATGTAAGTACATGTACAGTACATGTACACTCGCACCACCAATATCCAGCGTGGAATCAAATATTACACCTGTACATATGTGTATACATTGTACAGTATATATAAACCAGTCTATGGGTTACAGTGCACGAGTACGATTACATGTACATGTAATTGGTAATTTACGTTAGAGGGACTACCAGGATTTTAGGTTACTAAAAGGACATTTCAAGGTAAACAATGCACATATGTAGAGTCACTTGTTGGTTATGCATTTTTTTATACTGATGTTTTACATTTGTTTACTATAACTACCGGTACATGTACCATACATGTACATGTATGTGGTTCGTACCGGTAAGAAACTTGATGCAATGACTCGTATTTCTTTGACCATGAACATTCTTTTTAACTGGATTGTTGAGTGTTCCTCCTCCTGAATATGTTACCGATAACCCTACTCCCAAAATGTCAGCCTGTTTCCCTGCGAGGGGATAAGCATGTGTGGATGTACATTCCACTCCTGTGATGAAGGTTGTGCAAGTGTTTATAATACCTCTTTTGTCTGCTGGTTCTTTGTCTATGGGTTCACACTACACGTAGGTACGCACTTACATAAATGTACAGGTACTTGGTCTGTAGTTGGGGGGATAAACGCAGGATACTTCACCTATTTTGTGGGGACCCAAAATGTTACGGGACAAAGAAATGTTCCCACAAATTGGTCCTAGTAATAATTTTCCTTAAGAAAAAAAGATTGCCCGTTGACCCTGTGAAGGCCTACACATCCATACATGTACATGTACTGTACATGTGTGTATTTGGACTCTAGAAACTTTCACACCGAGATCGAGAATGTACACTACATTGTGTGCTCAGTGAGATACAAATACACATTAGAAGGCCACTGCTTACAATGAACACACATGTACATGTACAGTATGTACGGTACTGTTGGAATCGACCCTTTTAAAATAATTTGTCAATTCACTCTAAATGTAATCTCCATTAACAGTGAATCCGTCACAAACAGTATTGCTGTTGACAAGAACCAGACAATGCAGCATGGAAGTAACATATTGTAGAGTTCTGGTTAATGTTCCGCTGTGTATAATGCCGCTTGCAGTATTGATTCGGTTCATTAATTATCACCATGCTCTGATTAGGCAGTAGGAAAAAAGTCCAAGCAAAAGGTTCCTTATCTTTTAGAGACAGTGTAAACTGAGGGCTGTATTTAGCACAAGAAGTAAATGGCTTTGCAAAACCCAGATTTAATACTAATACTAGCCAAAGATAGTTTAATAACATTTAATGACATGTACATTTACTCTACAGGTTACTTTACCGGTAGTTATACATTAACTAATTATTATTATTTATTTAGCCAACACATCAACAAGATTGGACAATACAGTACAATTTAGTAAAAAACACAAGAAAAACAACTATACAAAAGAAGACAAATCACTACTCCCAGGTGGGCCAGGCATGCCAGGGGCAGCAAAAGCAAATATTTACTGTGGTCCATAGACCCGCAGCCCACGTCTGGTTGTAGTCTAACATAACATTACGATTATTAAGCAAAAGATTAGTAGTTACAATTAAAAAATTTAAAAACTTAAAAAAACATTTAAAAAATAGGAAAATATAAGTGAAAAGTACTTCATGAATATTATATGACTTACTGAGCATCACGAAAGGAAAAAAATTAAAGTACAAAAATAGCAATAAAATACATGTATACATATACATGTACATGTAAAAGTGAATAATTTCGTAGATAATTGCTCATAAAAACATCAGTGTGCAGATAAGCGATCTAAATAGGGCACATCATGGTACGTTAAATCTGGCAACAATCTCCTCATATTTCAAGGATCTTATAAAGGAGGATAAAGAATCAGTGATGACTACATTGTAAATAGCTCAAGGCTGAACAGGTCTTAGGAAATATAAATTGCATTCAGGTGTAAGGATTGAGTTCTAGCCGGTAAGTGCTTGAAGGTTGAGGCAGTATCGTATCTGTGGTTAACGATGATGTTCCGATGGACCAATTCACATTTGATTGTATTAAACAGGCGTTAACAACCTACAACAGCTTAGCCATTCTTGTTGGTCGAGAACCTGTCACACAGAAAGTCTTAAACAGTTGACAAAGTACCAGGCATCACGCACGTCAATCTCCATGTCAGGAGATTGTTCACCACTGGTTGCCAATATCATAATGGAGAAAGAGGTATTTGAAAAAGAAAAAGGAATTTAAAAATTGTTGAACAAAATCATTCACAATGAATAGGAGATTTGAGACCGTCTCAGGAGAGTGGACGCTGATGGCGTCCCTTGCCGTCAGCTTGCACGTAGTCAGTATCCATTCTCCTGACCTGGTTTTGAATAAACCTGCTCTAAAGGTTCTCAGGTCCATGCAAATTTCAGTGTGGCAAAGGAAAATAAACTGTTCAATGAATTAAATTCTGTCAGGTACAGAGTGCCTTTCCATGAACAACCCTGGAGAATATCTACAGTACTGCACCCCCTGTGTATACCTGGGAAAGTATGGAATTTCTGCAGGGGCAATTTCATTTTAATGACGTGCTTCAAATTTCATTTCAGTGGTTTTTCTTTTTTCCCAATTGAGTTATCAAGGGTTGCAATTCTGAAATTCAAAACCCCGTCAAAGAGTGCTTTTTGATGATAATAGAAAGATTATCTGTTGTTTGTAAAAACTTATCTTCCATGTGTAGATTCATATGTGCCTGTTTATAAGAGGTGAAATTTGAGTTACAAAAAGCTTGTTTAAATATTTGCTGTTCTGATTGAGCTTGGAAATGTAATATGGGCATGCATTTACTTAAATCCAGTTCTGCTCAAAATAACTTGCTTTCTTCTCTCTTGTCTTTTTATCCAACAGCTTATATTTCTGCACGGGCTCGGGGACACAGGGTAAGTTGATCACTCTGTCCCAATGTTGAGTGGGATGTAAAGGAGTTGCTTTTTGAGCCTTTACAGCTAAGCATGCTTTGGCCATGTGTGTATTTTTTTGCAGATACATGTATGTAAGCTGGGAACGGGGAAAAGATAGATAACTACTCCAGACTCACAAGGTGTTTGAATCACACTGATGCGGGTGATTTCTTCCAAAAGATGAAACCAAAGCCGATGGCAGCAATTTACAATGTTATTATGATTGATTATGGCCCTTCCCATTAACAGCGGAAGCGCCATGACCAGAAGCTTCCAGATGAAATTAAGCGTCATGTGCTGATTTGCACAGTGTATATTTGAAAAAAAAAAGGGTCTCTTCTAGAAGAAGCGGTATCCAGGGTTGTGCCCACAAAGAGGAAGCTTTTATTTCAAAGTGACTACATCTAGCTTGACAACTTGACAGTGGTACCACTTTACATGTATCTCCACTGTGATGTACACGTACACGTACATGTATGTAGTCGAACAGGTACCAGTGTGGCGGGCAAATTTTCAGCAATGAGCCCCATCAAACGACTATTCAAAAAGAGGAAGAAATGCCACGGAAATGCAGAATTTCACTGCAAACGCCGTAAATGTAAGGACGAGCCTGTTGTATGCACGTGAAGTTGTACGATCCTAATGAGAGATTCTGTGGTCGTCAGTTCACCGCGGTGATTAATGAATTTTCTAGTAGTCCTCACCTCAGTTCACCTCCTCTCTTTTGAGATTAAAAAGTGCATTAAGATTGACGGGTGGGATCTGGCGTGGAGAGTTGCATTTTGATTGCCTTCTGGTGCTAATGAATATCTGACAGCTAGCCGGTGATTTCATGAGGGGGTTGGGAGTACGGGGGGGGTCATCAATTCATTAAGCATCCACAAGACTCTCCTCAGGCTTTGCCTGCATTTTACGGCCCAGTTCATCAGGGGAAAACAAATTATATTCTATGTATTTGTGTAAAAATAAATATATACAAGTAGGCAGAGTTTCATTTGCCGCAGTAGTCTTACTGCTGGTTTCTATTGGTAATAGTCTATCCTAGAGTGTAAACAAATAAAGTCTTAACTGATGCATACACTGTATGTGTCGTTCTTGTGCAAGAACTCATATAAAAAAAATGCAAAGTGCATTTTCACAGTTAGGCTTTGTAAAAATAACAATAATAATATTGATTACCGAAAATGGGTCATTAGGGAGACATTCCCATAAGAATGTGCACGAAATTTTCCCAACCGTACAGTCCCATAATTCAATATTCCCTAATCTGATCTTAACCAAACTTTGCATGTTTTCATTTTAGACCCTCATCTATCATCTCTCGAAATTTGGACCGTAAAATTGGGCCTCCTCCTGGTAGTTAGAGCATTAGGGAGACATTGAAATGTCTCCGTAATGCCCAATGTCTCCTTAACGTTGAAAAATTTACCACAAAGTTTCTCCCAGATGACCTATTTGTGATAATAATACTGAGTATTTATAATGCACCAAATCCATCGTCAGGTACCAGTAATGCTCGAGGTGTTACTAGAGCATTTCAACATACAAAGCTTGATCAGAGAGAGGGAAAAGAGATGGAGAAAGAGAAGACTTTTAAATGTGAACTTAAAATCCAGGCAGAAACCAATGTGCCTGATTACAGGCAAAATTAAATACACAATGTAAGTGTGTCTTCAGTTTAGACCTCAACAATTTTGTACTTGTTATGTCTCTGAGTTCTTTCAGTAAATTAGTCCAAAGGACAGCTGAGAGTTGATTTCAGCCTTCGGCAACTAACCATATTTGGTGAGCATTGGATTACTGTGAATAAAATGGCCACATTTGAATTGCGCACTAAATGTAAGACGCAGTGAACCTATCATATTAGACCACAAAGGCACATACATGTATTCTCAATAATGAAGAGAAATTAAGCTTTCTCTCCAATCAGTTTTCTTGCTGAGAGGGCACAGAGAGAGTTTTTAAATTCTTAAAGGAGAACAATACCACAAGTTTGAAATAACCGTTTAAATATTTTGGATAGAAAAGAAAACTTCAAAACCTTCATCAGCACCTACAGCTATACATTATATATATGAGTATACCAGTAAGTACGGTACATGCGAACATGAAGTAAGTAAACAAATGATATTCATTGCCTTCTGCATGTATATATTTGACATTTGCAATGTTTCTCTATGGTTATAAATTTCTGCAAGTGGTCTAGCACCCATTTATACTTGTGAATCAGCACACAGGTTATCATACATGTAGCTATGAAAGAGGGGAACACCTTGTGTTCGCCTTACAAATTTGTTACAAACGGGAGCGTCAAAAAGGGAGCGTGACGGAACTTTGTTTTTACCTGTCGACATTACCTGTCCGTTCGACATTAAATTTTTTTAAATTTCATACCAGATATCTCTCTCTGGAGTATTTTAGCTTTCAAAGTGATACAGATGCAGAACAGGTTGTGCAGTGCTCGAGACAAGGCAAAAATGTACCAATAAGAGCATCAGGAAAACAACTGCATACTGGTGTGTGACCATAACTCACTGGCAGGTTACTGTATTTTGTGCCATATAGATATCAGACCTTTTTTTTCTTGGTTTTTTGTGTCAAACAGGCATGGATGGGCCTCAGGTCTTGAAGAGGTTGTTAGATCAGCTGGTCTACATCATGTTAAAATCGTATGTCCCACTGCGTAAGTGCAAAATTTTATTATGTGGCCAAAATCAAAGGCTTCTGTTGTTGGTTGTTTTATTATGTATCCATGAGTACACATCAGTTTGCCCTGTTCTTAACATTCGGGGAGAGCTAGTCACTTATTTGGCAGGTTTTTTTTTTTTCTTGATTTCTGGGGGATTTTTGACACATGGCCCAACTTCCAACTGGTTTGGGACACATTCCAGGTTTCATCTGAAATGTTGACTCCTATTTGATGGACTTTAACCAGTATGCATGTTTATGAAAATCACTGGCCTAATTGTCATGACATAAGCTGGGCAAGACACAGGACTTGTTTGTTTCACATGGATCTGAGTCTCGATCGGTGATCCTAACATTGGTTTGCTCCATCCATTAGGTTGGTTTGGGTGTCAGTGAACCAACCATGGATCACTGATCGAGATTCGGTGTTGAAATTTTGCTTTACACCAGCACTGCTGCTTTGTGCACCTCTCGTAATCAAGAAAGAATTTTTCGCAAGTGTAACTCCTTAATATTAACCTTAGAATAATTGTGGTGAGTTGCCTTGTTTTTATTTTAAAATCATTACATTTTGTTGGTAAGGACATAATAGTTAGTAATGTCAATTGAAATGCAGGCCTACCATTCCAGTGACATTAAACATGGGGTTCCGAATGCCGGCATGGTTTGACATTACAAGCCTCAGCTTTGACGAAGATCAAGATCAAGACAGAATCACAGAATCAAGTAAACTTTGTAAGTATAAGTCTGTCGGAAATGTTAAGGCGATTTGTTTTAGGATTTGTGGGGTGGACATGTGCAAGTTTCATTTTGCATGTACATGAACTGTACCTTGTGTTGTTGTAAGCCATTTTTTTTCCCACAAAGATAATGGTGCAGAACTGTTCATCATAACGTTCAGCGATAACTTCACATTCCAACTGAGTATACATTAAGAAGAGATATTTTCCTAATTTGCTGTTATTTGAGTACATGTACTTGTGCAGACACATGACCGGTACCAACCGTGACTGGCACCGTAAATTTGCCCCCACAATAACTATCGTTCCACAGGGGTGTTCAAGCATCAATGGGGCCAGTGATCATGCACATTACACATATAGGTATATAATTATAGTGAAACACATGTTTAAAGAATAGATACACGCTGTGCCTGTGTACCCAAGGTCAATGACAGCAGCTTGATACATGTAGTCACGAACTATGTTATTTACAGGCCATAAGTCAAGGAGTATATGTACAGTGTTTGTACTTGTGACTCTTGTTGGAGGTTAATCTTTACCAAAGCAATCAGAAGATATTAACAGTGGAATAATATTTGTAATATTTTGAAGAAGATCCGGAAAATATGTGTTTCAGTAGTCACGAGTGTCAGTCTAACGTCTGTGCTGTGTCTTTTTAAAAAGTTTTTCATGTCCTGTTTTACATCACTGAAAAAAATGCTGTCATAATAATGATAACAATATAACACCATTTATAACGTGCACAATCTCTGTCAATTAAAGACACTCCGTGGGCTCACAACATCTGAACATTCCTGAGTCTGCCAGTATCTCAGCTCCCTTGCGAGATATACATGAACTAGCCTGATGCTGCCATTACAGGGATAAAGGACTGAACACAGGCCTGAAGTAACTGTCCTCGCAGTGACTCATTTACTCCTGGCTTGAGAGAGGCACATACATGTAACCACCAGCTAGGATTTGAACGTCAAAGATGAACCTCAAAGATGATCGGCAACTACAAGGCCTAACCGCTTGTCAACATGTCTCCATGTAGATGTATGGAGGTTCTGTATGGCAGCCATCTTAACTGCTTTTGTTATGGAGGGATACTACATGTCCAAAAGGTCTGCTCGTGTATCCCTGTAGACCAAAAGCCCATACGTGTACCGGAAAAATGGTTACCATCCAGATCCTCTATACATTTGATGAATCTTTTGACAGAGTTACAAGAATCTTCGCGTGCTCCATCGTGTAAAAGAATTGCGGTGCTCGCAATGTTTAATATGAAATGGCTGTGCTGAGGTGATTCACTCGTCGTTGTTCACTGGCAAGCACCATTCTACATTCCTCTCGTGGCCATCCACCATGGTCACTCTCCGTGCATTCACCCGATACTGAAAGGGCATCAGCTTATTCAGTCCCTTGCGGAAGTCGCGCATTCGCAGCCCACCGTAGTGCATCACTTCGTTCAGCTTGGGAACGTGGTCCATGTCCGGTGTGCCCACCCCCCCAGCCATGGTTGCTGCACGAAGGTAGGCCAGGAACCAGTGGATGTTGCTGTAGTACTCCCTGTGGTTGTTGATGTCCTGACACAGTCTCGCATCAAAGCCTGTGTCCTCCCGGCACATGCCTTGATACCTGTGAACTTCTGCAGGCGCTAGCCGTTGGACGTCTGCCTGAGGGGTGTGGCTTCCAATCCAATTCATCGTCTGAGTCACAATGCAGGAGTGCCTGTTGTCGTGATTCAGTAATGGCTTGAACACATTCAAGAGCGTGCACAGTCCAACGTAGTCTAAGAGATTTGAGGTGAAGATTCTGTCATAGAGTGGCAGGTTAAGGGTGAGATGGTGATTAGGAAAGTCCAGGCAGTGGGCAAGAAATACACCGACTGTGAGTCGCCCCTGACTGATGAAAGCAATGACTTGTTGTAGAAGGTTGGTTACGTAAGCATGGTACCTGGCCATCACAGACAATTGACTGCCCTCAGTGAACTCATCAACTCGCAGACAGTCCCAAACCATGAAAGGGGTTTGGTCAGTTCTAATGCAGTACTCAAAATCGTATTCCTTGGGGGTTTTGATGAGGACATTGGGTAATTTCCTTCCTGTAAGTGTTGGATTGTCAAAGTCAAGGCTCCTGTTTTTATGTCGAATTTGCTTTGGGAGGAAAAGCCCGTGATCGAACCAGTCTTTCATGAACTTGGCATCTTTTTGCGAGAGCCTGTTGAGGTACTGAGGCAGCCCAATGATGGCCTGAATATCCCTGTCAAAGGTGCATTTCCTCTGTTGCTGGAGTCTGATTGAGTGGCCTGCTTTACGGTCACAGTTCAGCCTCAGCCAGCCCTCCCAGACCTCCCGCAAATATCGCAAGTCAGCCACACTCACGGTCACCATCCCTTGAGTCAGAGCAAGCAGGTCCTCAGGGCTGGCCTGGACCAGTTCCTGTAGGGTGACCTTGATGAGATCGTAGTCGCTCCGCGAAATGAGAACCGAGTACCAGATGGTGGCCAGAGAGGAGGCAATGCCCTCTGTGGTGGAGTGCCTCACCATCATGACCATGAACATGACGTTCCTGGCCATCACAAAGGGGTCCAGGTCATCCAGGGTGACCTGGAGCTGCCCTTGGTATCGGTCCGGCAAGGATGCGACAGTAAGCACGGTACTTCTTAAGTCCCCGCACCCGACTGACAGCACGTTGTAAGTTCTCTTCAGCTCCTCCTCTCCGAAGTCGGCCGATTCCGACCACTCATTTCCCTCGAGACGCAGAAAATCACTCGCAATGGTGTTGCCAACATAGACTGGGGGCTCTGCATGTACAGAAACGCTTTCCCCCTGCACGCGGTAAAGCATCGCTAATTTGCGTGAGGTTCCCTTGATGTAACTTGTGGTCATCTTGCACTGTTCCTTGTGGGCATTCCAATGCCGCAGCTGACACGGTGCATTGCAGTACCATGCATTATTACAACCAGCGCACTAGTGGAGAAGTATCAAGAGATGTACATGTATACAACAAAAAATCACACATTTTTTTCTTTTCTGTTTAAGCCAGTTCAATTTTCAAACTGCAAACTTATGCATTTATGCGCTCAAGAAGTAGTAAGGTTACACTTTAAAGATCTTGAAGATTATTACAGTTTTTTTGTACTTTTAAAGCGACAAAGGAAATGCTGGTTGCTATGCTTTTTGGATAGGTTTTTCAACCCTTTATTGTTTTCATAAGGTAATTTCTAGTATCGTGCGTCCCTTTCAGAAGAGAAAAATGCCATAGATAACCAAACCACAAACAGAAAAATTTTCTGTCACAGCAGTCAGCAATAGCGTAACTGCACATGTACACATCTTGGTAATCTCGTTAGAAGGTTATACAGGTACCTCTTTCAGTTTGTCCTGTTTTCCACACTGCTTGCACCGTTTTGTCCCAAAGACCTGGCACTCCACGCTACCATGCCTCACTCTGTCTTTCTGCAGACAACCCCTGCTGCAGTATTCGGCCAGCGGACACCCGCTGCACTTCACTGAATGCTGTGGCAGTGGTTTCTCACAGCGCCAGCAGTGTCCCTTCGTAATGTCCATTTTCTGTAAGAAACACCGGCCCTGTCAGATTTCAGTTGAAGAAGCGTTTGTTTATTTACATCTATATTGAGACTAGAGATCTTAGTCAATTTCACGGCGCTGCTAAGCACACATTTTTACGCAAACAGAGGCTTGGTGTATTTCATGGCGACCACAAGCAGTAAGCAGGGCAAAAGGCATGCTAACCTTGGAGGAATACGTGTACAGTGTACATGTATTTTTTAAAGTAGTGACAAAACAATGGAAGTCTCTATGCGTGCATATTCAACCAGTTCAAGCATCGCCATGAAATAGCACTTAAAGGGTCCATGAAGACCTCTGTGGACAAAATGTTAATTAATATTTGAAAATATTCATTAATGTGCTAATTAAATGATGAGGGATGTGAAAAATGAAATAAACTCCCTTTGTTGAGGTTCATTTTACTGACCCCTGAAATGAATGTTTTAATCCTGATAAATGACGGCGTTATGTGTGACGTACATTTACATTTGAAAACCCACAATAGAAGCAGAATTATAATCAGGCACAAGAGTATTGAGTGAAATAGCCCAGGCCGATTTGGAAGCATTTCTGATCCTTTACCGTTCGTGTTTCATGAAAGCTCTTCTTCGTCTTTGTTCACAGGTTTTCTTTGATTTCCCAAAGATCGTGGGCGCAGCACCTGGCTTCAGCAATCATTTAAATTTAGGGTAATCCCAAACAAGTCGTACATGTTTGGAAGAAGACTGTGTCTCAAATTGCGTACTGCACAGTTTGGAGCTCACTGTCGGTCCTGACCATTTGGCCCTGGTCAGACCGACTTCTGGTCTCCAAATTTGCCTAAATTTCATTTGGTTGGAAAGTTACCGGTGTACAGGCTTGGCCCATCTTATAGGTGCAGTGCGGCAGTCTGCAGCAACATACATGTATCTGGTCAGCACAATCTCTATAACACCCAGAAATTGGACTGACTTTTCTGTACTCGATCCAAGACAATCATAAACGTGCTAGCGGCGCACGACAATGCCTTCTCAAATGTAGGTCATGGATATGGGACTTTTCTCTATTTATGAGATACCTCTTGGGGGCGGGGCCATTTTGCCAAAAACTTTAAACAATTGTTTCTCGGATTAATTAATCAAACCAGCAATTTTTACATTCTGGATATCATTTAAAAATGAACAATTTTCAACTACAAAACTGATAACCACTTTTCATGGGCCATTCAAGGTTTGCAAATTTTTCTGCTGCAGTGAGCACAACTTTTCTGCTAATTGTTCAGCAGCTCTGTGAAATTGGGTCCTTATTTGTTAAGGTCTGTCCGTGCTTAGCACTAAATTGAAATGGAACACAAAATGGTGGCATTAGTTCAGATGCATACATGTACATGTATTCACACTACTGCCTATTCACAAAAATGGAGTACATTTCAACCTGTGAATTTCGCGCAGAGGTTACGCTGATGTCAAATTTGTGTTGCTTTTGTGTCCATCTACATGTAACATGTACAACATGTACATGTATTCTCATGGTCGGACATCGGGGAACTTCTGTACATTATTGAATAGCACGAAGGGTAAAATTTCCCCTTTGCCACGCGTTAAATGTCCACAGTGACGTCATGCCGAGCGCGAGAATGAACCAACCTTAAGCTATACGTACATGTACGTCTCTTAGAAACATGTGTACATGTACATGTATGTATACCATGAACATGTACACTGGTACATCATTGCAGGTGCATGTGCCTCTGTTAATCATTGTGTTACATTGTCTGTTATTACTATAAATGTTGGAAAGTTTTTGCACTTTTGCTTGACGCTACTTTTGATTCTCAATATAAAGAAGTTGGAATGAAATGGTCATACCGGTATGTCATGTGCATGTATGTCTGTAGACTACATGCACTTGTGCAATAGGGTATTCATTATGGTTCAGTCCACCTGTGATATCATGTACAAGAAGAACATACATGTATATTTGTACATGTACAGTATGTGCAAATGTGGCCTCTCCTTGACCTTAACTAATCTGTATTCCTTAACCCTAACAGTCCTCAGTCCTCCAACAGGTGCAGGATTGAGGACTGTTAGGGTTAATGTCTTACCTTGTTAGATTAATGCTGAACTGAAGTCACTGATCCAAGTCACTCAGGTATTAATATTCAGAAGACCAAAAACGTGGAGTCTTGTCAATACTGTGTAAAAATTGCTAGACTTTCTAAGGGTTTCCCCCAAGCGTAACTTGTCTGTAGGGACTAGCACCTGCTTTGGAGATGAATGAGGAGTGTGCCAACAGCTGCTGGGTGTACCTTAATAAAGATGTGAAATGTGGTAGACTAGCATTCTCAGTGGTGTGCAAGAAACTACAAATCTACTATTCAGTCACTTTTTATACCAGTCATTTCCTGGTTTCATGGGTGTTGCTGGACTAGGAACAAGTTTACCGTATGGAGTTTCACATTTATGGGGAAAACCCCTGTTATGCCTTTAGTGAGAAATAGTCCCTATTGTTCCTGCCACTGAGTCAGGAGGTCAGGTGATTTCTTTATGAATGTCGTCTTGTCTGATATAACGCACAGCCTTCTTCACAGGTTCAGCTTTCTCTAGGATGTGAGTCCCACGGCATTAATTGAAAGTTTGTTGCTGGTCTGTGTGATTGCTTTTTTTGCCAGAAACATGTTTTTTTATTTTTTTTCCTTCTTTTTCATTTTCATCTAGGATCTGATCGACTTTGTGCATTTTATTTTCAGTCTGTCATATGGGTTTTTCTCATTTAATATCCACAGCAATTGTGGTATTAACTCGTCCTTAAATCTGTCATCTTGGAAATCAATAGGTGATGTCCTTGTGTCCACCCACAGACACATGTATCCATGTATGTCCCTGTTCATCAGACATCAAACTCAGTGATGTTATAAAGCAGGTTATCCTCCTTTTAAAGCATGTGGGAAATGACAATGGAGAATGACCTTGAGACCCATTTTGTGTGATCACAGTTTTTTCCCAATGTGTGGTATAGATTTGTCATAGGAAACCTTGGCAGAGCCTTTGTATTTGTTTATACAGTAAGGGTCAAAGGTTACTTATTACAACCATTGTTACGCTTTGTGGAGCTCAGTGCTTTCCAGGTTTTCTCTTTCAATTTAGAATGACGATATTAAAGTCTTAACCCTAAACTTAAGAGCCAGTTTTTTAACCACTTCACAGCTGTCCCATGCCTGATCATAGCTAAAATTACTGGCAGTATACACTGTAAGATTCAACTGACTCCAACTTAAGACCTTGTTGTTGTGACCATTTAAAGAGCAAGGCCATATGCGTGTCAGCCACATGCATCAAGCACGTCAGTTGAAAAAAATATAGACATTTTCGGTCAAAAGTGGGCGCTGCATGATATGGGAACAGTATGTCCAATTGTCAGAAAATGGGTGTCAAAATGATCACGAGATATTACTGGAAAAAAATTTGCAGGCTCAGCAAGTAAAAAAGGTTCTCTGTGACAGTTTCGGAAAATATGTTGAGGGATTCTGCCTCCCCCCCGCGGCACTTTTGGGATTAAGAAGTACATGTTCATCCCATGTGTTTTATTGGTTTACAGCTTTAAATAACGTTTTCAGATAATAGTTGAATTGGTCATGTCAAGTTTTGACAACTTTCTCTGATATCACTAATTTGAAGTACATGTATTTCTTGGTCACGTTTCCCAACCCAGTAAACAATTTAATCGATGAAGAAGAAAAGAGTGGCATCCCGAGCAATCGTATAGTCATCGGAGGATTCTCACAAGGGGGAGCCATCGCCTTATACACCGCCCTCACCACCGAGCGCCAACTAGGCGGTGTTCTTGCACTCAGCACGTGGCTACCTCTACACACAAAATTCCCTGGGGTAAGGAAGTAAAGGCTGTGTCCGGCTGTCATGAGTCGAAATAACATAGGCACCTATGGAGGCCCCCAGCCATGGCAACTACCAGCCTCAGCTGCTTATTACTCAGTCAAAAAGCTCTTTGACAGAAATGGCTTCCATGCATCAACAGCTCTGTAGGGTTTACCATGAGGAAGACATGATGGGTGCGCACATGTACTTTGGCTGGTGCATGTGTGGCACAGAGACCATTTTTCATCTTAATGTGCACAAAATTGTAGCATTGTTACATAGAAATGTACATATGTACATTTATAGTATGTGCGCTCAACAGCTATGATCTTTGGTTCAGCGCATCTATAAGTTTGCCATTGGAAAAAAAAATTTTTTTTGAGTTCTGTAGTTGTTTAAAGAACCTTGGATTCTTACTTTATACACGAAGGTACAAAGCAATTGTGATCTAAGGACTTGTTGGCCAAGTTCTTTCTATTACATGTATATCATACTTCAGGAAATTTATTAGTAAAATGTCCATTTTATGTATTTTTATCTCTTGATAAACTGAGAACTCATTACTTGGTTTTCACTCAACAATTTGCATCAACATACTGTTTCACTAGAAACGTGACAATTTGAATACAGGAAAATTTAGCAGTAGGTCATTTGACAATTTCAGGAAGTGCATCCCTGGCACCATGCAGCGGATGCACTGGCTATCATGTGCTCTGGATTGCTCCGTTTTATGCATATTGTTAGACCTGTTCCCAAGGTCAAAGGAAACAGACTTCTAGAATGGCCACACACATTGAGTCAAGAAAGAACACCCAGTCAGTCTGTACTTTCGTAACACAGCAACCAAATTATCTGACACTGCTGGGACACCTCAGTGATGGCATGAGCGCTGTACAAATGTTTGGTCTCAATAAGCGCTTCATTCGTTTGCTCAACAAAAACATTGCAGTGCCCCTGACTGTCAGTGTCAGGTGTGGTTTTCTGTCAGGATGATACTGTTCATTTTGATTACATGTATGGCAGTGTTATTCACTAGCATGATGGTGCATACATGTACATACATGTAGTTTGTCCATGTGGAACACATTTTTATACTTTTATTTTGAGGACGAAGGAGTGCCCTACCCTTTGTAGTAAAATACTGTATGTCAGGTTAGGCCATCGGGCAGAATGATGGCCCTTTGTTATTGAAGGAGAATACCGTCTTTTCTTGGATGTGCTTAATTACATTGTACCACAGCGTAATCTGAGCCTGATAGGATGTGTCATTACTGCCCTGGCACAATGCTGAGCCACACTGGCCTGATCTTGTTCTAAAACTTAAGACTCTCATTTTTCTTGACAAGTCACAGTCCTGGAAGCATGTCATGCACAGGAACAACCTGCACACGAGTATGGCGCCACCGCAGTAACGGCTCGTTAATCTGGTCTCCAAAACAGTCTATATACCCACAGAAAGGCCGTGCATGAAAACTTGACACTCAAAAGAAGGTGTTGTTTTTTGTTTGTTTTTCTCGACAGGCATTTGTAGGCTCGAGACGGGACTACCCTGTCTTACAGTGCCATGGGGATTCAGATCCAGTCGTAAATATGCAGTATGGCGTCATGACAAGCACGTTGTTGAAGGAGCAGTTCTGCAGTAACCACACCTTCCGGCAATACCCTGGCTTGGGGCACAGCAGTTGTCCTCCTGTAAGTTTGGATAAATTATGGATTTAGATATGTTTGAATTCTCTTACAAGGCTTTTGAAATGCATGGTGTTACTATCTGAAGGTATGCTATTTGGCATGTTTTGTGTGTAAATTTCTCTTATTTAGGTCATGTTTGGAAGTTTGTTGCACTTGATTTATTGGTGGATATGTGTGTGCTGCCATCATTTAAAAACTGGACCCAAATTTTAGTGTGATGTGAACGAGAAACCTGAAGCAAGTTGAGCATCAAAGATTTCATCACCTTACTCTGTTGCGTCTGCATGACTGAACCTGAGCTGTACATATGTCTTTTTCCGTCTTTAAACATGTCGTAGGAAATGAAGGATTCTGCAGATTTCCTTGTGAAAGTGCTGCCCAGCGCCTCATCCAAGAATTGACATCGACTCTGAGCTTTCTCAATTCAAAGGATCAGATGGGCCTGGAACTACCATCTTGGCAATACTAGGTTTTGTCCTTTTTTTTTCCCCGGTAAAAAAACAATTGATTGATATACATTTCTTGTAATTTTCAGCATCGTATTTTAATCCGTTTTTTTTAACTGCATCTAGAAAACACTTTTAATTTTTATCATCATCCATTCAATGAAGGAAGGCTATCATGAACAGATTCCATGTCAAACTTGAACAATTAAAATAATCATCGTTATGCTTATTCACAGTCATGGCTGCCTGCTCAGTAATAGTGTGTTAAAGCATCTCACGAGCATGCCGTTTAAGCAATGATACAATGGTTTTTCAAAATAGGATGGTAGACATGACATATACTTTTAAAAAACCTGCCTTAGACCCTCGGTTGTCACTTGAGTCAAAAGCCTCAGCAGCGACTCTTCATTTCTAAAACACCAGCATCTTATGAGTATTTTTTTGTCGCTGCATTAATTTTTCATTAATGGACAAGCCCAGCACATCATGATTTGAAAATAAGTGATTTCCTCTAGTGCTTATCATAAGCATCAGGCTAAAACCTGTGTTGAATTGGTATGCAATCTAGAGTCATGTACATACAACCAGAGTTAAACTCAGAACCTTTGCCATGTTGGCACCATAGTGGCATGTACGTGTAACTGCTGATGTATCACTGCACACTTTCCATTAACATAATCCACCGCCACGGAAGAAACTGGAAGTACAGTGAATGATCTGTGTAACTGAGGAGGCAAATTACCTCTTGCCCTCAAGCATCAGTTCTGTCAAAATGTTCCCGCAGGCTGAAACCTATTCCTACATGTAATTCCAGAAAGGAGCCTGCTTTAAGTAATGCGTGAAGTTGGGTTTGGCGTTTTCAGTGTCTGTCTCTACACCATCTTTGATGGGAATGCTCTAATTTTTTAACACACTTTTGAAAATTCAGGAAACAATGTTCCATTTTTAATTTCAGGACTGGATTACACAAAGCTGCAGTCTAATGAAAATTAATATCGGAGACAAATTGTAAAAAAGTCTTTGAATTTTCTTGTTCATACTGGTAGCTGCTGTTTATGATCATTTGTTTAATGTTCTTCCTGTTCTGTGTGGTTGAAAATCGTGTGACAAAATCAGATTGTCAGGCATGCAACTTGTCCTCAGATCAGCTGATTTCCTCATTTTTCACTTGAACGCTCATGTAATTGAAAAATGAAAACACTGCAAAGGTCTTGTAAAGATTAGAATTTCTTTGTTCTTGTCAAAGTCCAAGTTGCATGCCTGGATTGTTTTGTGGATAATTTATGAAGTACAGCATAATTAGTATTGCCAAATGTCTGTTAAATCATTGGGCAGTACCCATGTGTGGTGCATTTTTACAATGTATATTGGTCAGTTTGTTTGTGATGCCATTTTTGCTTCCTTCAGTTCTGATTGAAACTTTTCTAAGATGTCATTATTGTTTACATTGGGCACCCACTGCCCATTTGACTCGGAAAGGCCTGCCAACCACAGTATGCTCAGTTGTCGTGTGGTAAGACGTCTGCAACTGCAGGGGGTCCTGGGTTTGAAACCAACCGAGTTGGCTTGTGGATTTTTCCCACAAGCCCTCGGACAACACTTACGATACAGAGTTTATAAATACATGTATACCGGTACATCAGTGAAGGGAAGAACTCCCAATATAGATTCAAAATTTCTACATTTTACCATCATGCTCACTCAACCCCCCCCCTTTTGAAAAAGCTGCACATTTATCAAAGAGAAAAGGTGTTTGCCGTTGGCCCTGTTACCTTGGGAGTGAGCAAAACATTACAGGTAGCAATGTTTTCTTCATTCTGTGGTCGACCTTGGCCAATCTTTGCCTCAACATCAGCAAGGCTATAAGAGTTGGGAATTGGAGCAGTAAATTGACTTTTTGTAACTATGTACATAATTATTATTATTAATTGTGATAAGTTGGATGCTTTTGTCGTGGTCATTTTTGGAAAAAAAAGTAAGTTTCTGTTTTCTTTGCCCTACGTAAGAAAGTAGGTATGCCTCTTGTTGCTTATAGAAAAATTGAGTTTGAGCATAATAAATGAAATCAGGTCATTTCTGTAAATATTTAAGACAGTTCCATGCAGAAGATTCGACTGGATTTCCTGGCAGTAGAATGGCCCCACATAGGGACATTCATGCATTCTCCATCCTAAAGGGATTGTTTCCCAAATATATGAGACCTCTCGCCCCCATTTCCATGTACACTCCTATGTTCACGTACCCAGTGTGGACTTTCCTTTCTTCTCGTGTAATCAGGGAACTTTGTGAAATGACTCAATTTTCTTGGACTTTGAACACTAATTTGAGCAGGATTTTTGTTGATGGTTTCTCCAACTGTTTCTCTTCCTTTTGCTACCAACAACCCTGACCCCATTTTACCTCTAAACATGTTTTTCATAGAGGAGAAACCTCTTGTAGAACTGGCTTAATAGTCCACACAAGGTTCACTCCACCTGCATAATGTGAACCTGTTTTATCCCAACATGAACATGAAGATGACAAGGTTGGCATACTTACACTAGAGAGATTACTTTTTTAGAAAATCATCCTAGAAACTAGGGGTATTTTATTCATCCTCAACACAGATATTGCTAAAAAAAACAGTTAGTGTTAGCCCAGATGAAAGCAAAGCACGCACCCTTCTTTTAGAATTGGAATTTTTAATTGTACATTGGCTACTTGACTGTATGTGCACTGGTTCATTCCCTCTGAAAGCTAATAGGAAAAGATGCTTTCCCCTCCCCCCCCGGAGACTATTTAGCCGGGGGAGGACACAAGGGGGAAACTGCCCCCCTGTGGAAACTCTTCTTCCCGCCCCCAAGCCTACTACGCCACTGGTGCACATCTAGAGTGCTTGTCCCTGTATGTTCACCATGGTTGATTGTGATTGTATGAATTATTAATATGTTTCTCAAAAAAGAAAGCATTTGTACTATAATTATGTGATCAGTGAGTTTAAATTAAACCTGTGTAAAGCAATATGGAGAAATGAAATAATGTGCATATGGGTCTAATTATTTCACATCATTGCGTTCTAGAATCAGTAAATAAAAACACTTAGGAAGCAGGAGGGGGAAGGGGTTGGGAAGGGGCGAAGCCAAACATTCAGAATTAGCTGATTTTATTGTTAAACTTTGATGAAGCATGGTGTATCTGCATGGTGATGTCGGGCTGACAATGAAAAGATGAGTTACATTCAGGGGGGGAACACGGTGCTTTTTTTTTTTGTGTTTTTAATCTTCTTAACAAATCAGTAATGTACTCTGAAACTACAGTTTTGGAAGATATGGGTGGGGGACAAATCCATCCAAATCATGGGGGGTGCTTGAGCACCTTTGGACACTGAAATAAAAATTGCTAGTCAGCATGTGCTTGTCATTTTTAGAAATTGTTCACCATAACAGTTCTAGTTTTGTGGTGAGGTTTCTGTACCAATGCAAGTTACATGTATTCCATCCAAAGATTTGACACGGCGCTCGCTGTAGTTGTGCTGTCATACGAATTAGAAGGCCGTCGTCCCTTTTGCAATTTAACGACTTGAATCAAGTCTTTTCAAGATGTACTTGAATCAAGACTTCCGTGCCAAAAGCTGTTTTGACAGGTGCATATCTGCCAATCATAGCAAAGTTCCGATACTTTTGTCCAATGAAAAAGTGACTGATTTATATTGCTTCTCACATTTTTGTATAATATCCTTCCACGCCTGTTAAACTTCAAAATAAATAGGACGCCTCTTTGCTGGAATTTAAAAGAATAGCTTGCTGTAGAGGATGTTGTTGCCCGTATTTTTTACAGTTATGCTGATATGGCATTCGCCTAGTTGGGAATTATATTCCACAATATTTCATGATGTGCAGAAAATGTGATGGAAGGGCAAGTGCGTAAGGTTACAGACGTGAGTGAATCGCCCAGGCCATCGGTCGTCTGCGCTGCTCGCTTTAGCTCATTTTGAACAGAGCAACTTTCGGCATCGACAATGCAAAGTTTCACCCTGCACAAAAAGTGAATTTTTCGCTTTTGAGCCATGTTCAGTTATTTTCTGTTGTAGTTTGACAATGAGCGTGTCTGAAGAGGATTATGTTGCTAAGACTGTGCTAGCTTTATTCCCAACTTTTATGAAGTTCACAGCGTGAGGGACAAACATGCATCAACGTTGGGGGCACCTGGCGTCATTCACCCAGATGGAGCTAGGCATAAAATACTACTGTCCGTGTGGGACTCTGGGTTCCCGTAACTGGACTACTGAAGAATCTCTACCTTGGAGGATGGCAAATTTAGCTGTCCTCCATGTACCTGGAAAACGTAGAAATGAATGCAGTAATGTTATCATGTTGCTGGAGAAACCATAAAATAGTGCTAATTGTCCTCTTGAGAAGTTGAAAATCAACTTGGACGCGAGTTGCTGCGAAAACAAGTTAGGCCTAACTTTGGATCAACTTCCAACTTGGCACATCTGTATCGGTCAAGTACATGTACGTCCGCGCCAACCTGCACATTTGGTAAGTAATAATTATAGATACTTTGGCTTTATATGGAGATGAGAAACAGCTAGCCTATTTTCTGTTATGACCTAACCTAGGCCTATGCTACAATCTATATGTTCTTGCCCGGTCATGGTGTTGGTGGTCGTTCCAGGTTTCAAATTCTCGAAACGTGGACTTTTCTTCTGTCATGTCTGTTAATACTTTTTATGGATTCGTTCACGTCTACGACCTTTGTTAATCTTGCCACCTGGCAAGGCGCACGTTTATTGATTTTTCCTGTGCTATACATGCCAAAAGCATTTCAGCTTAATCTGCATATGAATATGAGGCATTTTAATTTGCATATAAATATAAGCTATTTTACCTGATTTTGTGGCAATTGAAAACTACAAAACAGGTGTTATGGAAGCTGTAATTTAAACCCATTGGATTAGTCCCTAATAGTAGTAATGCTTTATTCGCAAAGACCACTTTATCTAAAAAGTAGGCCAATGAATGTGTTATTGTGACGAGGGCTTATTCGTTCTTTTCTTGACACCCGGGGTAGCCTACATTTCTTTTTTACGTTTTAAAATCTCTGATGATCATGACGCCGCCGATTGCGTTAGTAATAGTAGTAGTTCATTATTAAGGAAAATAAAGAACTCCATCTTTGAGTACAACTAAGGCGATTCCCAACGGTGAAAAGTCCTTCGGTATTTCCATTTAGTAAAATGAAGTTCAGATGGTGTCGGCAATAATATCGGGAAAATTAAACATAAAGGTGATTTCCCTTAGGCCTTTATTGTAAATATGCATGCAGACAACTGAAAAACGACAAATCGTTTTCTCCCAAGTCAAGTCACAAGTAATTTGTCCAAGTCAAGTCTTAGGCAAAAAAATAACTGCGACTCGGACCTCCGAGTCAGTAATCGAAATCGGCAACACTTGCCAGTATGTAACACATCGCCTCTAATAATTGGCGTAGATTATACCGTTTCACTGAAAATTCAAATATCTAAATATTTTCATCATGATTAGCAAGCTTCCCTGAACGCAACGTCAACTGCATGTAGTCGAATGTAAGGGACAAGAAAAGCTTTCACGTTTCTAAATTTCTCACTAATCACGAAATTCGAAGCATATTGAAATATTTCATTGTTGATTAATGCATTTTTCCGAGTTGTGAAAAATAACAACTTTAACTCTGGCTTCAAAACTTTCAATAAAGGTAGGCCTAGTTCATGACGGCACTCTCTGTAACGTCAGTCGATTAGTTTTGGATTTCTATTTTTTTAGCTTCTTGATGGAAAATTTTATGAATTGGCTAAACATGTACTCATTTTAGGTATTCATTTTAGGTGAGTTACTGATCAAAGTCGTGAAATCCGCGCGAAGCGACCTCAAGTCGGCGATAGAGGGCGCCAGGTTACCCTGCCTGCAAAACACAGCTACAGTACAGACGTACAGTGTACATGTACTAGAGAACAGGAAGATATAATAGCAGCCGAGGTGGGAACAAGTAGCCACAACTTGTTCTTCCAAAGTTTCAGAGGATTTCTTTCTGGTGGCAAGTTGTTACTACATTTTTTGCAATGCAAACGTCATTCTAGTTTTCATTGCAGACATTCTTCTAAATTTAAAACATTGGTTTTCATCATTGCCATTTTTTTGTCTCCTCCGATATCTCATCAAATAAAAAAAAGTGCAAAACAAATTTCAAAGTGTCTATCTATATCTCCCTGGTGCAAACTTGGAAATTTCATCAACATGCATATAAAACAATTTCCATGAAACTTTTACAGGACTGCTAATCGACCACCGTTCAGCACGCGTAGGTGGTCAAACTTACATATACGAAATGAGATGAGACTAGTCCCGCAATAACTGGTACTGTGCAAGAGTCTTCACACATTCCTTCCTGGTAACGGTTACCAGTGAATGCTGTATACTTTTTTTGTATTGTTCGAGTACCGCGAGTCGACGAATATCCCAACGGCATGGCGTCCACTGGTTCCAAGAAAAGAGTGTGCTACTATTATGACGGTAAGCTAAATACGGCTTCTTAAATTATCCAGAGTGTTTTCATACACTCTGTAGAACGTTGTAGATCAATTTGGAGTAAATTTAGTGTGAAATGGCCGGAAATTTCGCTTTGTTTTTCAACGTACCTGAGCTGTGTCAAAAATGACCGGCCTTGNAATGATAGTATGGTGCCCTTCCCCCATTTGTTCCATGTGTACGCTTATTTGAATAATCACTATCATTTTTCCGGAGAGCGTGACAAGACCATACCCAGCTCAGAAATGTATGGTTCTGAAAGACTGACATGAAAAACTTGTAGTGCAGGCCTACTTTGGGGTTAAAATGATTAAGAATGGATTTAGAAGACTGGTTGCATATTACTTCTTGAAGTTCAATCAGGCATGCACCTTTTCCTCAGATCAGCTGATTTCCTAGCTTTTTTTAGTTCTATTTCACGACCATAACATCAAATCAGCCTAAACGTAACTTGCAAGTTGTAGTAATGGGGATTGCAATTTTCAATTTGAATTCCTAGTTTTCTAAATTCCCAGTTGCATGTGAGTTCACACATGTGAGTTCACAGCTTTTGGGATGTAGCCTTGTAGGCCTGCCTAGTACTAGTTATTTCTTCATTGTCCCTTCAAGTGATAGGCCTATATTTATTCGTATAGGCTTGACAGCCAAATAATTTACCACTCATGCCAGTCATTACCAGTTGTATTATCCAGTAAATATCCTGTTCAGGAAATTATGTACATAGCATAGGCCTAGGTAACATTTTGAATAGGCGTATGTAATTAAATTGTAAATTTTCAGTAAACTTTCTGGCTGTCCTGTTTTTGCTCTGTTAACCTTGTGGAGTTCTCATGATATATAATGCTAAATACCTACTTGTATGTATTTGTTTTTCATTTTTATTTTGATTTTGATTTAGATGCTAGGGCCTACATGGTTTGGTAACTGACCAGTCTGCCACTTTTTGACTTTAGAGTGTTGCTACATGTTTAAACACAATTGTGTTAAGATTTCAAGCTAAAATGTAATGAATCAGTTGTCATATACACGTGTTCATGTTTTTAAGTTGATAGAGTTTTTACGCCCCAACCATAGGATTTGTCCCAACTATAGCTGGGAGAGTCCTGACTGTAGTGCTGGCCCAACCATTGTATACCAATTTCTGTGGAAAATTTCTCAACCTTATCCAAGTTTATGCATCTCACACTTGACACAATTCATTTAAAATATGGTATTTCATCTACGACATGACACTATAAACAATATGGCTTTGGCATATGCTGGGCACGTGCACACTGACCTCCGTGCTATAGTTGGGCCAGCCCAACTATTGCACTCTGGTTGGGATGGGCCCAACTATAGTTGGGACTGATGCTGTGGTTGGGGCGTAAAATGTGATTTTGGATCCCTTGAATTTACCAGTGCATGTACATGCAAACTGTAAATACTTTTTAAAAACAAATTGATGATTAGGAATAGTAACTATAGCTGCCCTTGTTTGGCATAAGTAGTGGAATTTATACCAATGCGTGAGCATACATGTCATGACAGAGAGACAGAAAAGCCCACTAGTAGCCTATCATGTGGCCTAGATTATGTAAAATATGGTCAAAATGTGCAATGTTGAATGTTCTTTGGATACATGTACATCAGAAACTACTTTGTTTAATACGCAGCATGCAAATTACATGTGTGCCAACAGACAGACCTTGTGTCAGTTGTTTGAAAGGTATTTTGTAATTGGCTGCATTTTGTGTTTTCCAGGCGACGTGGGAAACTATTACTATGGACAAGGTCATCCTATGAAACCACATCGGATTCGCATGACACACAACCTCATCCTTAACTATGGCTTGTACCGCAAAATGGAAATCTATGTGAGTACAGATGGAAAGAAATGCAAATTAATTGAGACTTTCTGAATTTGCTCAGTGAGTTAGGAAAAGTATCTGTTTGTGAAGAAAGTGTTTTCATTTTGAATTGATTAGCGTAGTTATAAGGGTTTATATTAATTACAGAATAAGGATCTTGCATCCATAGTATTTGCGTGGCATGCTTGAACTATTTTAGATATTTAAATATTTTGCACACCATATTTTGCACACTTACTTGCCACACTTCGACTGTGTCTTGGATGCATTTGTTAATGAAACATACCAAGTTAAGGGTTCTGCTAAATTGACTAATCTGTGAGTAGACTTGTTCCATCATACTTTTTATGAATAATTATAAAAAACATAGAATGAAGTTCTGCTGATCAACACACTTTATTCCATTCTAGACTTCAGCAAATCGTTCAGAACTGTGCCACATCTGAATAAGCCTCAACCTTACGCCTATCGGAGGATTTAGAACTGGTAGGGCCAGTGATGGATTGTCAAAGCATTTAAAAGTATTGAGTGATTTTTGATCCCTGTTCAACCATGCAGAGACCCCATAAGGCTGTGATGGAAGAGATGACAAAGTACCACAGCGATGACTATATCAAATTCCTTCGCACCATCAGACCAGACAATATGTCTGAGTACACCAAACAGATGCAGAGATGTAAGTTGTATGATGAGGCAGTCACAGATTTCAGTTTCCATCCTGTTTCTAGCCACAATAATCACTTCCAAAATGATGTCTGGCATTCAAACAAATCTTTGTATTTAGCTGAATTTTTATAAGGATTTGATTTTGCAGTAGATTTCGCAACCAGTTATTTCCTGTTACCTTTCATCATTTTCTTTGGTCAGTTTTAGTTAGTAATTGAACGCAGGATGATTTCAGAGAGAAGTCCTACCTAACCCCAAAATCCATAAAAATATTTAGAGCCAAGCATCTCTTCATCCACATGGGCCTGATATCCCCATGTTGTTAATGTGCCCCGAGCTGGACCAAGAGAGGGCACAATTTTTCTGTTAACGGAGGCTCCTTTCGTGGGAACTGCACTTCACTGGTTCACATGCACACATTGTGATTGTGTCGCCATCAACAAAATGAACACTCCCCACCTACAAAGCTCTTTTCAGCCAGTGGGGGAGGATGCTCTTGCTCCAGGCCAATAGGCCTTTGCACTGATGACACCCCACTTTGTTAACATATCATTGTGTGCCTGGAAGAAGGTTGTAAGCTCTTACGACCTTTTGCCTGGAACCATAATCGCTGCCAAAAGAAATTTTCCCGGCAAAAGGACGTATGTATGCAACTTTTATTTTAATGAAATGTAAAGATTTCTTGGCAAATAGTTCCAAAATAATTTCCCAAGTCATTTGATAAGTTGTTAAAAGGTTGCTTTTTGCACAGCCTGTGTTGATTTTGTACTAAATTTTATCTGTTTTTACTAAATAAAGAGAGTGTGTTTCTTACACCCTTTTACCGGGAACATTTTTTCTACTGTGATCATGCTTCCTGGTACACAGTCGTAAGTGCACTTACGACCTTTTGCCGAGCACACAACGATATGTACTTCTCTACGGAGCCAGTGGGACCCACAGTCCACTATTAAGCACCATGGGAAGGCTCAAACAGAAAGTACAGAGGGCTGTTCAACAACATCAGTGACTCTGTGCATTTCACATCATGTCCCTGCGATTTAATACACAGTGTGGGATTTGGGGAATTAAAGTGTCTTGGATGTTGAAGTGGGTTTTTGAAATTGATGTGTCCTGTTTGTCATTCCAGTCAATGTTGGAGAGGATTGTCCTGTCTTTGATGGGTTGTACGAGTTCTGTCAACTGTCTGGTGGTGGCTCTGTTGCTGGGGCAGTGAAGCTCAATAAACAACAGACAGATATCGCCGTCAACTGGGCTGGTGGTCTTCATCATGCCAAGAAGTCAGAGGCATCGGGATTCTGTTATGTGAATGATATTGTACTGGCCATCCTTGAACTTCTGAAGTAAGTGGACTTTTTTGTGACTGACTTGTGAGCTTCAGTTGGTGAATGAATATCATAGACAAGGTTTGGGGTTACTTGATGTGTATTATTATCTAAGCAAGCATATTTCTATGTTGTAGTTTTTGGTGACATTTTCAGGTAGTTATTTTTGCCAGTGATTACAGTTTGTAAAAGTCTAATTATACAATCAGTGCTTTGAATTATCTTATTGCTGAGCTTCTGGTAACTGGGTACCTTTGTCATGTTCGTCAGGGCAAGCAGATTCATTTCTACACCTGAATCTGCTTGCCCTCATTAAGGTACCCAGTTACCGAAAGCTCGGAAATATGATAATTCATAGCACTGATTGTATAATTATATTTTTGTCAATATTCTGATTAGGTGCTACGCAGCCCTTTCATATTTTCCTGAATACAATTTGTAGGTTGATGTGGGAAATTACAAAAGTAAAACTGGCAAATCCTTCAAAATGACGAATTAAAATTACAGCTGACCTTTGGCAAAGCAATGTGTTCCTTTTGGCGATCTCCACTAGCAAGGGCAGTAATTTGATTTTTTTTTGTAAATTCTTGTTTTTGACAGATATCACCAACGTGTCCTTTACATTGACATTGACATACACCATGGGGATGGAGTGGAGGAAGCATTCTACACAACGGACAGAGTTATGACAGTATCATTCCACAAGTATGGAGAGTATTTCCCAGGCACGGGAGATCTCAGAGTAAGTAAACAAAAAATCTCTTCCTTCTACAGTTTGAGTCCAAGTTCCAAAAGAGGGCTTCCGCTCTACTGCCTATTGTAACCATGCACTGTAATGATTGATATCAGGCATGAAATGGTTATGTATGATCGGCAAGTAATTTTTCCTCAAAAGTATGTTGGGTTTGGAAAGATCCATGAATTAAACACAAATCTGGCAGATAAAAAGAAAGAAAAGTGTCTGATGGGAAATTTGATTCCCTCTTTGGTCTTACCTGAAAGTTGAAACTATTAAATTTGATTGCTTAATTTAAAAGAGACGTTAAACAAGAAGTGAGAGTTCATTCATGTATGCAAAAAGTCCTTAACCCTAATGATCCCAAACCTGCCAAACTCCAAAACCATGGTTTGTTGAAGTTTGTCAAACTGACTGTGTTTTGTGTAGGATGAGACATACCACAAATAAACAGAGTCTAGCTGTTTATGTGTACAGTTTGCAAGGATGTTGAAGGTTGCTAGCAAATCACCCAAGAGAGTTAGGGTTAACCCTAACCCTCCTCAGTCCTCCAAAGTCTTTCGGGTGGTTTGGAGGATTTTGGAGGATTGAGGGTGACTGGCAAAAGTGCACGGCTGATTGCATAGGATGCCACGCATGAAGATCGTGGATTAGACCTTGTGTTGTTCTTGCTCAGTCATGCATAAGTTCAGCCTGATATTTCTTTTGAATCAACCGCACTGCTTAAGAATGCCATTTGCACTGCCTCAACATCATGACCGGAATTGCTGGAGGATTTTGAAGGATTGAGGCAGTAGGCACACCTCCAACTAACATTTTCAAGAAATTTTGGAGGATTGAGGGAGAATCCAATTTTTTCACCCCAAAAATTGGAGGATTGAGGAGGGTCCCAGCAAAAAAGGCTGAGGGGGTTAGAGCTAATGGAGAAAGTAGGGAAAAAATCACTATTTTTGACACACTTTGTATCTTTTCTCGCGTATTCCTCAATCTCGCTGTCCTCTGGATGTCATCCTACAGGACATTGGTGCTGGCAAAGGTAAATACTATGCTGTCAACTTCCCACTGCGAGATGGAATTGATGATGAATCTTATGAGCACATTTTCAAACCAGTAAGTCAGTGTTTAAGAAAGCTTTCCAAGCAATAGCAGGCTTTGTTAAGTGGCTGGTGTACATGACAATGCCATTTTTTCTCGTTGCATTAACTATAAGTTTTTCAACAAGATTTTTAACAGATTTTCCATTTGCATTTTGCATGTTACAGCTTTTCAAACATAACTGGCAAATTTCTGAAATTTTATTCGCAAATTTTATTATTTTTATACTTTGTCAATTTTTAATGTTCACTTTTTAAGTAAAAGAGACAGTCATTCATTGCTTTTTAGATAAATATGTCAATTGTGCAAGTTGGGGATGAAGTAGTTTTTGTCTTTGTGGTAATATTAGGGTTTAGTGTGAAAGTTTTCTACATTATTTCATGTTTGACTTCAGATCATGTCAAAGGTGATGGAGATGTACCAGCCCAGTGCTGTCGTATTACAGTGTGGTGCAGACTCACTCTCAGGGGATAGGCTTGGTTGCTTCAACCTCACCTTGAAAGGTAAGAGCCTCAAAGAACAAAGAGTACCTGTTTTATTCTTAACACTGAAGTCCAGGGGCCAATTTCATAGAGCCTTAAGCCTTACTTGATAAATCAGGTAACCAGCCCAAACTGCATGTTATGTATATTGTTTTGGGATCATATTTAGCTGTTTTTTGGTTAGCATTACTATCAGATAGAGTTGAAGCTGGTAATCTTTGTTTATTAAGCAAAGTTTTTTGCTTAAGCAGCTCAATTAAATTGGCCCCAGAGTTTTAATCAAATAAATATAAGTGATGGGGATTAATAGAAAAAAGAGGAATGTCTTAAGTTCAGTTCAGCTTGTCATTGAGCTCTTCAGAAATCTGTTTGGCATCCTTGAAAACAATGTAAATGCAATGAAAATTGGTGCTCAAGCTAAGATACAGTTTATGTTCTTAGTGTTCAAATGATCGGTATCTGTTGAACAGGTCATGCCAAGTGTGTGGAGTTTATGAAGCAGTACAACCTGCCATTGCTACTTCTTGGCGGAGGTGGCTACACTATACGCAACGTCGCTCGCTGCTGGACTTATGAGACTGCAACTGCCCTGGGAGTAGAAATTGCAAATGGTAAGTTTGGCCGTAATCTGTGCATAGGTTGCATTGTGTACATACATACTGTGCTCCTGGAAAAAAAGAAACAGTACTGATCTTGAAAAATGAACAGGTGAACTTGTAACGTATGAAGCCATAAGGAAATCCAAAACAAGATGTCTCCACCTTGAAAGAGTTTGATGTGTGAATATGCAGAATAATTAGAATGTGAAATTTTTTCTGTTTAAGTTGGTCATATTAAAAGTTGTGCTATACTTACTTTCCTTTTTTTTACTCCTTTGCAGAGTTGCCATACAACGATTACTTTGAGTATTTTGGACCAGACTTCAAGCTGCACATCAGTCCCTCTAACATGACTAACCAGAACACTGGTGACTACCTTGAGAAAATCAAGTAGGTTTCAACCTCTGTGCTTTTTCTCTGAGAAGTTAGCAACTTGGTTTTATTCGCTAACATCCATAGCTCTCAATTCTTTTTCTGTTTTCATCACATTTGTGTAGAGTAGAGAAATTTTCTATGTTAAATATTGGAGTATGCTCTGAGGTGTAGTCAAAATATATCCAAGTTGAGCCTCTGAGATCTTTCAACATTCACAAGTATACATTTGGGGAATTTGGTTGGATAGGCGAAAGAACAGTCCAGCCACTGTATCTTCACAAGGGGCTCAGTGCATCTTGAAAGCAGAGGTACAAAAACAGCGTGCAGTTTGGTCGTTGCACCTGAGTACCCGAGTGAAATTTGGAAAATTCAGAAAGGTTTCTGCAAAAACTCTTGAAGATACAAATTTTTCTTTTATATTCATGTCAGGCCATGAATTTTCAAAGGGAATGGGTTGATATTTTTTTCTTGCCTCTAAAACATGTAACCCTTTTAAATTCATCACAGGACGAGACTGTACGAGAACTTGCGCATGATCCCTCATGCACCTGGTGTCCAGATCCAGCCCATCCTGGAGGACGCCCTCCGGGATGAGAGCGACAACGAGGAAGAGGAGCACTCGGACAAGCGCATCTCCATCATGTCCCGTGACAAGCGCATCGCCTGCGACGAGGAGTTCTCGGACAGCGAGGACGAGGGGGAGGGCGGGCGGCGGGATATCAGGTCGCACCGACGCAAGAGGCAACGACCGGCGCAGGATACTCAGGCAAAAGAGGCAGCTGAGAAAAGTAAGTATCAAGTAGGGGGCAGTAAGCTTTGCATTTTGCTAATCACTAATGTAGGTGGATATTCCTGAAATCTTGGACTTCTTGACAGCTACAGGTCTGAAATCACAAGGGAGCTTAACACAAGTATAGACCAACCTTTTGTGCCCAAGATAAAGTCTCGAAGGTGCATGTATTTGTGTTCAAAGATGATAATTTTTACTTGTAAAATATGTAAGCTTAAGTTGCCTATGATGTCATTCAAATATGATTTTTCTTGTTCAATCCAAAGTGACGATTATTATGATGACACGTCCCTTTTCCCCGTGTCTGTGAAGGTGCAGAAGCTCGGAGGGAGAGAGAAGAACTAACTAACAAGGAAAAGGTGACTGCCAGCGCTGCTGTCAATGCTGAGCCTATGGATATATCCACCTCTGAACCACCTGCCAAAGGGTAATTAAACAAGAACACAGTGAATGTCTTATACTTCACTGTGTACATTGAACATTTTACAACGAAGTCCCCCCCCGCCTCCTGATTGGCAAATGAGAGGCTTGGGAAAGAGTCAGCTGCCATTAGTGCCATGTACCCGAGGTCCCCAGGTGACATAGATTTGCAGCATTTCTCTTTGCCGAATCTAGGTCCAAGGGGTATGAACAAGCTCTTGCATGCAGCCTCACCTCAAAGAAGATGTATCAATGAGTGGTCTGTGAGCAGTCCCCAATATATGGGTCACTGGGGGTAAGGGACTGATCTGTGTCATCATAATGTGATGTCCAGCGGTGGATGTGACATTCAACGATTGTTCTCTGTGTTTGAGGGGTCCATGGTGTTTTGTACACCTGAGGGGGCAAATGGCACTCAAGGCGAAGCCGAGGGTGTTCAAAACCCATGGACCCTGTCATAGTTTTGTTATACCATGTTCATAGATTAAACTGGAATGGTCCTATGTGTATATGCATATTTTATTACCAGATAAATGAAAACACTTTGACAAATTGAAACACCTGAACAGCAAATTTAGATATTGAATTATTATATTAAATATTATTGACTGTGATGTCCTTTGTGGACCTTTTTTTTGGGGGGGGGAGGAAATCTAGGATATATAACAAACTGGTTAAATTATTAGAAAAACCTGAATTCATAAAGCACTGGGGTTTGTCAACTGGTTGAAGTATTTACCCCAAATTCAGACAGGAAGAGACAATGGCACGTGCATTTTATATACACAACAGCGGCAGCATAAACAGTGATCAGAGCATATTCATGTTCAAACATAGCTAGGTAAATGTACAGACACCCGCGAGACTGTCATGGTCAGAATGAAGATAGTAATACATGCAAATGGACACAGTGCTTCAATGTCCCCCCATGCAGTGCACATCTGCAATCAGGGGTGTGAAATCTCCGTTTTTAAAGGATTTCCGCTTTTTTGTTGAATATGCTAAATTTCATTTTCTGCTTGTTGGTCATCAATAGGTCAGATTTTCTTTGTTTTTCTTTCCTGTGCAGGCACCAATTTTTCTGTTTTATCTTTTTTTTTAACTGGCGCAATGCGACAGCCAGGCCAGACTTCGCACGTCCTCTTTCGAACAAGTGCGGGGCACGCCAAGTTCTTGTGTCATTATCACACAGTTTTGCATAAACTCATCGAAATGTCAGTGCAACACAAATGTATATTTGTCCAAAGAGGTTCTGACTTGGAGACAGTCTATGACAAGACCGATCCTCAAGTTACAAATCCGCGGAAACAGACGTGAATGGAATACACCGTAATGTGGGCAGGCAGTACAATCTGCGCTGGGATCGGAAAATCCAAAAGCTTGGACATGCGATGTGCGGTCTTTAAAGGAATCAAAATTTCGAAAACGTCGTTAGATGCAGGTGGGAAAATGGCCAAATCACTCAACAAACCTCAATATTTACAATTTACTATTATTACTAGTTTATTTTAACCCTCAGGAATTTTATCCAAATAAGTATGAAAATGATGAAAAAAAAATCTAAAATTAAATAGTACATGTAGCCTAAATTGCAAGACAAACATGGATAACAGTTGTACCAGGAGGCTGTAAAATGCACCACAGTACATCTATATTTCACAATTTTCCCGGAGCCCTTAATTTAAGCGGGCCACGGACCTCACACTGTATATGCTTCACGTTCGCGATTTCAGCTATTTTTAACAATTTTCCACTCACACCCCCTGTACAATAATAGGTGCTAGTACCATGGCTATCCACCCTCATGGCAAAGATCACACTATTCCAACACAGTAGACACGACACATCAACTGTTGGAAAGATCAGTGTTATCCATCATTTCTTGCAGCCTGGCAACATCGCCAGAGAGCGTGAATGATAAATGCGCACTTGTATCATATCATGTGATCAATTCGCGACCAATACAAATTCACTATCTATGACTGTGGTATAACAAGTGTATTTGTCACCTGGTCATGTGATCATTCTGGGCCAATGAACATACAGTATTCAGGACAGAGGTATAATAAAAGAAGATTGCTGCTTGGTCATAAACTGATTTTCTTGGTCATACATTTAGCCCGTAACAAAATTATGGCCTAAATTCACCAGTTGTCTGCAAACAAGACCGTTATTTCATTTGTTTATTTAGTGGTACTTTTTTTCACTAGTGAGTGGATGATGCTTATTTTTTAGCATTGTTTCAATAGAATCGTGCAAATTGTAGTTAAATTGTAGGTTTTGTGTATGTTTATCTTTGTAACAAAAATGCCTTCCATGTTGTCTGCTTTCAGACCTGAGACAGAAAAACCTGTGCCTGATTCTCAAAAACCTATAGACGTCAAAGAGGAGAAGCCAGCAGTCTCAGCCAAAACCGACTCTCCTCCCGCCAAGGAAGGCAACGATGTGACCAAACCTGCCCCAAGTGCCCAAACCACCCCTCCCCCAGCACCCCCAGCACAGTCCACAGAGGAAAAGATGGAGCATTAGAAAAAGTATAACAGTGCCAATGTAACAGTGTCATGGTCGGGTGTAATTAATCAAATTGTGAATTCACTTTCTCTTCCAGATGAGGTTGTACAAGATTTTTTTTCCTTGCGGGGGGGGAGGAAATGGAATGGCAGGTGTGGGTTTGCAATCATCTGTGACGTGTTTTTTCTGTTCAGCTGCCTTGCTACAAATAACAATGAACAGAGCTCGAATTCTAATTTTAGTCACAATCTACAGTTGACATTACTGCCTGCAAAAGTTTCACTTTCCAGAGCTTTGACTTTTGTCAGTTTCACTTCAGCACGAGACGTCACGTTCTTTCCACATTTTGCTTGAAATCACCACAAGCCAACTGCAGCCATTAATGGATTGGCACATTCAGTACCAATTTTGTACAAGCCTGAAATGAAAAACAATGTACGTTTAATGGCCACTACCTATTTAGCAGGAGAAAAACAATTGTGATTGATTCGTTCGTCTACAATTTTACCGTGACTTAGTGCTGAATAATATTGGGTTATGGTTATAAACTTTCCTTGTTCGAGTCAAAGTTCTCCGTACTGTATCATTGATACAAACGTGATGTTAAAGATTTCTACAAACTGTGTACTATATTACTATTTATATACATGTACATGCATTTTGTTCATTCATTGGAAGGAGAATGCTCTTTGACAATATGAAGTAATTAACCCTCCTATGCTGAAGTCACACTTTGGGTCATTTGGTGAACACCTCAAAGAAGCACAGCTGTGTTGTGTTGTGCAC